CAGCATCTTAGCTGTGGAGGGCAGTGTCACTGGCCCTCATATGTGGGATCTGAACTGGGGCCCTCTGGCATCCCAAGCCAGTTCTTAACCATCGCGCCACTTGGCCGGCCCAGTTACCTGCTTTTCTGGACTTCCAGTTTCTTGAATGAGCCTCTCTTCCTCATCTCTGATCTCCAAACATGATTCTCCCTCTGTCTGTAAAATTTTACTTGTCCTCCCCTCCACCTGGTTCACTCCTATTCATCCACCACATTTCAGCTCAGATGTCACCTTTCCAGGTAGACCTTCTCTACACACTGGACTATATCAGTCTCCCTTTTATCATTCCTGCAGCAACTGTATTTCCTCTTTCTCTGCATCAATCTCCTGAAAGTATCTGTTTAATATCCACATTTCCTTCCATCCTTCACTAGGACTGTCTATCATGTTACTGTTGTATTACTAGCAGCCTGAATATACTACAGCATAGTACTAAATAGGGGCCAGCTGTGTGGCATGTTGGTTAAGAGTTGGCTTGGGATGCCAGCTCTGAGCAGCAGGGACCCGGTTCGGATCCCACATGAGGACCAGTGACGCTGCGCCCTCTACAGCTAAGATGGTGAACAACAGCTCAACCTGGAGCTGGGCTGCCTTGAGTCGCCGGCGACGGTGTAGGCTGCAATGAAGCTGCAGTGGGCTGCCATAAGCTACCGTGAGTGGCTGGTAGCCAGCGTGAGCTGCTGTGAGCAGTTGTGAGAGGCCATCCAGTGGCCGGTGATCGATCTACTTCACCCGGGAAGAGTGCAATGATCACAATACCAACATGGGCCAGTGAAGCGATGTCCTCCACAACTAGACTGAAGAACAAAAAGAACAGCAACTTCTCTGTTCCCCTTCCCCGATTCCCCAGTGCTGTTCCCCTCCCCCAATTCACTAATAAAACCTTTATAAATAAATAAATATGTACTAAATAAATGAATTTTGCCAAAATACTTTCTAGGATTCCAAGTCTGAGACAAATTAGGTAACTTGCCTGAGCCTCAGTTTACTCAAATGTAAAATGGGGATAAAAATAATACCTACCTTAAAGGGTTGTCTTGAGGATTAAATGACATACATTGGTAAAGCCCTTAGCATAGTGCCTGTCACAGAGTAAGCATTTGATTAATGCATGCTTAAAAATAAAGAAAGGCTGTATCAGTTTACACTCATGTCAGCAGACTTGAGACTGTCACTCTTTACCCTTTCCAACAATGATCACTGTGTTTTAAATATTTTTATAAATATTATAGGCAAGGGCCGGCTGAGTGGCTCAGTTGGTTAAGAGCTCACTCAAGAGTTTGAGCTCTGAGCAACAGCGGTTCGATTCCTGGCCCGAGCTGAGCAGCTGCTGAGCTGCCAACAGGTGGCAGGAGGGCTCAGCTAAAAAAACAAACAAAATACTATAGGCAAAAAAAATGGCATTTCGTGGTTTTAAGGCAGCATGTATTTTCAAGCCAACAGCTTGTGTTAATAAGACAGCTGTACCTTGCTGCTCCATGCCTGGTACACCATAAAGAAAACAACTATTCAGTGCTCCTCTCTTCCTGTCACAGCTAGTTAGCGGGGGAGCGGTATCAGAGAATGGAGTCCCCAAATAAATAGTGATAGAAAGAGAACTGACTCTGGGTCATAAACACACAATGTGATATATAGATGATGTATTATAGAATTTTACACTTGAAACCTATATAATTTTACTAACCATTGTCACCCCAATACATTTAATTTAAATAAAAAGAGAGGGAGAGAGAGAACAGAGCTCCCAATGTGGAGGTGCATTGTGCAAGGCCTGGGCAGCTAAACTGCAGGTATTTTTCATTGCACCTTCAGTTTCTGCCAATCTTCTTGTCCATCCTATGAAAACATATGGGGCCCAACTCTCCCCAGCCAACCCAGGTGGTTGCCTCTGCATTAAACGTTTCCAAGTGACGTAGAACCCTGCAGGCCCAGAGGCCCCTCCGCACTTCCTGTGTGGGGTTCAGAAACCCGCCTCCCCTCCGAGCCTTAGGTGCCTGCTTTGGAGAATGGTGAGTTTCCCTCTTTACAAAGCCGCTTTTTGCATCCCAGCATTGGGAGCAATGACCCCAGGGTCTTCATCGTCAGCAGGGATTTTCAAAAAGTCCTTTGGTTTCTTTTTCAGAAGTAATAAGCCAACTGGCCTCCACCATCTTAGGTAGAGTAAGTGTCCAGTGAGAGAAGAATGCAGTCAGGAAATCTCTGGAGAGTTCTGGGACTCTGCCTCTTATCAGGTGAGTAGGATGAAATGAAAAAGATGGTATTTCTCCAGACCATGGGAAGGCTCACAGCCTAACCTGGTGCTGCCCAGTGGTACCAAGAGGCCTCATGTACTAGAAGATGTAAGGAACTGTGTAATGTTAGCATAGGGAACTAGATTAGCATAGGGAGGCTAACAGAGAAGCGTGCCCCAGGCACCTGGGAGACCTTTCCGGGAACAACCAAAGAAAAGCAGTTAAGACGATCATATCTATTAAAAACAAAGTGGTTTCCTATGCCTTCAAGAATGAGCTTGTTCTGTCTTAAAGAACTACCCAGTCCTTAAGAACTAACACAAAAGAGATTAGAAAAGCTAACCATAGCACCTCGTTGTGAGTAGACTAGATAGTTGAACCCAGACTCTGCACAGGGTATAGCAAGCTTTGTATCAAAGACAATAAAGCACTGTATCATTTTCAGTCCTTTTCAGTTAATCAAGAGCTTTCAATTAGTTTAGTCCTTTTTGAAGCAAGGTGGAATATAAGTTAATAAATAGCCCAGAGCATTTCCATATCTCATGTAAGATAAGATTTTTTTAAAGTTACCATTTATTGAGTTCCAGATACCATTAGTCACATGTGTTAACTAATTTAATCCTTAGGTCTATCTTGGAAGGTAAACATTATATCCCCTATTTTACAGAAGAAGAAATAGATACTCAAAGAATTTAAATGACTTGTCTAAAACCATACAGTGAGTGCTAAAGCTGAGGTAGGAAATCAGGACTGTCTGTGTACAAGGACTGTGCTCCTAATGACTGCACTACAGGAAGCAAAATGGCTCACGATGGCTTTACTTCAGAGACCTAGAAAATGCTATTACAGCTAGGGCTTCTATCTCAGAGCCACAGCCATGATGTCTCCACTTCCTGCTTCATGTTGGGTTTCTCGAGCTTGAATGTGCACACAAATCACCTGGGGGTCTTGTTAAACTGGAGCTTCTGCTACAGTAGGCCTAGATTAGAGATTGTGATTCTGCATTTCTAATAAGCTCTCAGGCTTGTTAGTTTGCTACTGGTCCAAGGAAAACATTTTGGGTGTCATGGGGCAGGGTGTGGTTCCTGCAGGAAATAGTCAGGCTTTTTTTTAGAGGCCGTATAGTATAACTATGCTTTTCAGAGAGAGAGAGAGAGAGAGAGAGAGAGAGAGAGAGAGAGAGAGAGAGAGAGAGAGAGAGAGAGAGAGAGAGAGAGAGAGAGAGAGAGAGAGAGAGAATGAATATCAAAGACCAAAGCCCCTCCGGCAATTTGGTATCATGAGAATGTTCCCAGTCTGCTCTGGGTACGGGTAAAAGAGGCTATTGGTAAAAGAGAGGTCCAGGTACACAGAAAACTTTCAGGCAGATCCAGGAAAACTGGTTGTTGTGATGAATTCTAGTTATTGCTGAGTGAGGGGATCTGAAGGGCCCGGTGGAAATGTGATCAGGCTCTTCAGTGTACAGGCTATAGCTGATGAGTTATCAGAGTTTCAAATATTTTCATCTCTGTCTCAAGCACAAAACAAATGGAAAAACTGAACCATCAGACAACAGAAGCCAGAGATGGAACAAGAATCTCAATGTTTGTAGGTAACCAAGAGCTTGTTTTTCTTCCACAGTCAGAGACCAATTTTTGAAATGGAGGTTTGGCTGCAAAATCCTTTTTCTATTTCTCCAGTCACCCAAAAAGCAGCCCCAATCGTTTCAAACTTCGGCTTGTCAAATATTGTATATTCATGTCTAATGCTAGAAGCTTGCTTGTTCTGTTTCATCCCAAATTGATGAAGAACCCCTGGTCAATACTCAGCAGCATGTGTCAATTATCTGGGATACAGGATTGACTGTGATCCAGCAGTGTTTGGGAAGGACTTGAGATGTTGTGAAGTGGTCAGACAAGACCACAGCACTTTTTATGCTTAGAATTTCAGCACTCACAACATTTACTAACTCTTTTTTTCTTATTATTTAATTTCTAGTTGGTGCTTGGGGTCAAGAAGGTGAGATATGCTTTCTTTTCTTGTCATGAATTCAGCGCAGCATTGTTTGTGTTTATGAGGGGAGCTTTCTCTAGGCCTCCCACAAACTTCCACAGAGACCAATAAAAGGGGTTTCTACCACCTTCTCCTTTGCCTTTTCTTCCTAAATCTAGCAATAGTCCTGTCTATAGTAAAGAGGTAAACAACAGAGATCATAGGAAGTAATGAGTCTTAACTATTGAAAAGAAAAAAATTGAGACTACTAAATTAAGTTGAAAATGCCAACAGTTTTCATTTGCTTGCATTTCATATTTGATGTGAGAATTTGTAGAGGGTATGTGGCTTGAATGCATGAACGGGGATGCAGTAAATAAGCCTCTGGAGCAGCATTTGAACACACATTCAGAACCACATGTCCAAATACTCTGAGTGTGTGTGCATGTGTGTTCATGTGTGCACATGCATATGAGTGAGCCCGGCCTGGGCTTACAATAGTTTCTTAATCATAGAAGCAGAGTCAAGAGTGTCCCAATATTGGAAGTCTTTCTATTCAATCAGCTCCTCCAAACTGAGTAAACCAATTTTGTATTTAAAAGTGATCGCGGTGCCAGTCTATATTCTGTTACACTGCCTAATTTGTAGTATCTTTGGATTTTGTTTTGTTTTTTTACCATGCAGCATGTTTAATGTTATATTATTGGCAAATGGGATATGTCAAAAGCACTGAAATGCTTCAGGATAAGTCATCTCTTCTGCATGATATTGTCATTTAGAGTTAATTTTTGGTTATCATTTTATTGATCCCCAATGTAGACCTGTTTTTCCCAGCTTTATTGAGATATAATTGACATATAACATGGTTAAGCTTAAGGTATTAAAATTGTAATACTCAAAATATACCGATAGCAAAAGATGAATACAAGTCACGTTTGACTTCTGCAATTACAAGAGGTGCTCAAAGTGGCTACCATCAGCGTGATTTAATACAGTTTTCTCCTTTCTTATAATGTGTGTACATTTCTTTGGCACCCTCTGTATATGATTACTTAGAATCCATTTTTGTAAATCTCCATCAGTTGTTTAATGAAGGACATAGGGCCCAAAATAGCTTTTCATATACAGCTATGGGGAATTTGAAGATCCATTGTTTTTTAAAGGTTGAAGGAAGAGTTCTAACTCATGGGAGCAGGATCTGATCTTAGTAGCTTATAGAAGTATTTCTAATGATTTTTTATCATTTCTTTTTCAGAGAATGAAGATACTGGTAAGAGGATTTTTACTCTATACAACCTCTTTTCAAATGTGGAACAAAATGGCCATAGAGGACAATCACCATAGTAAACACAGAGAACCAGAACTAATCGAAGGAAAATACAATTATCTTTCAATAGAATACGTATGAGAAGCCTATGTTTGTTTGTTGCTAACTGTCATGTCTAATTATAGCTAAGCGTAATATGTATCCCTGAGCATACATTCAGGGAAGACGATTGGAGCCACCATAAGCTTTTGTGTAAATCATGAGTTCATTAAAGGCAGAAACAGTGTCTTATTTACCTGGCCCAACGCCTGGCACAGAGTAGGTGTATATTTTTTTAATGAATAAATGATCATACACATGAATGCATCCCTGGTCTTGTGAGAGACATAAATAATTGATAATATAGTGTGTTGCATACTATGATATGGGTAGATACAGAGTAAAACAAAGTATAAAGAGAGAAGTGGTCAACTCTACAGAGAGTAGTTGAGGAAGGCTCCCCAGAGCAGTGATTCTTGAGCTGAGTTTTAAAAGATGAGCTTGTATTTTAGGGAAGAAGAGGATTTTAAGCAGAGGAGGTAAGGCAGTGTAGTATGAGGTTAAGAGTCCAACTCTGAAGTTAGACAGCCATATATGAATCCTGGCTGGACCTCTTACTTGCTGAGTTTCTTTGAATAATTTATTTAACTTCTCTGTGCCACAGCATCATCATGTGCAAAATGGAAATAATAATGATACTTAGCTTGTAGGATTGTTATGAGGGTTGAATGAGTAACTCACTTAGAACATTATCTGACATGTAGAAAGCAGTAGGTAACTTTTAGCTATTATGATATAGGAAGCACGCAGACTAGATAATAAGCATTATAGTTTGTTAGCACGTATGTTATAGGTATTGCCCTAAATATTTTGCCTGAATTTCCTCACCTAATTCTAACATCCTTATTCTAAAGATAATAAAATGAAGGTTAGAAAATAAATAAATAGTCCAATTACAGAGATAACTATAAATGCAGATGTAGATGATACTGAAGTTCATTTTCTTAACCATTAAGAAACACTGTCTCTAGATGTATATAACATCTTTGTGAGCATACATTCTATTTCTGAGCGTAAACATCTAGGCCCTTGTATGAGCATGTGTGAATCTAAGCTCTGCTACTAAATTTGTACCAAAAAAGTTATAAATAATTTTCTTTATATTTCATTTTCAAACAAACATACCAAGCAGAGTAAAATGTCTATTTACTTTTATATTATTGTATTTGTAATTTTTAGTTTATTTAATATTTCTAAAAAATATCAGTGCTGAAAAATTATTTCTAAGTCAACTGTCTATTGTCATGATATTCAACTTCCAATTAGTAGCAGATGGATAAACCTGGAGAATGATTTGTTTACATTCTGTATGATCTCAGCAGGAGAGCTGCCTGAGCAACTGGATCAGAATTCCATTGCTGAGTTCTGTTCTCCATTGTAGCAGGACCCTAAGAAAGAAAGGAAGAAAGTAACTAACATTTTTTTCTTGAGCATCAGCTATGCTCCATCCATTTTTTTTTTTCAGCTGAGCCATCTTGCCACCTGTTGGCAGCTCAGCAGCAGCTCAGCTCAGACCGGGAATCGAACTGCTGTTGCTTAGAGCTCACACTGTTGAGCGAGCTCTTAACCGACTGAGCCACTCGGCCGGCCCTTCCATCCATTTTCACCTTCATCATCCATTTAATTCTCACTGATGCCACATGAGACAGATGTTTTATCTCCATTTTCCAGATGAAGAAACTAAGGCTCAGGAAACTTAAATGACTTGCTCTTGGTCACAAAGCCTAAGGCAGATCTGGAATTCAAACACAGAGCTTCTGACTCAGTCCAGTGATCTGTCCTCCAAAGCATACTATAGCAAAACACCCCCAACAAAGAGAGGGCTGTCTCTGACTGAGCGCTGCCACTTCTCCCCTCTCCCAGCTGTCATACCCAGGCTCAAGCATAGCCTAGTGCTGCCCAGTGTCCCTGCCACAAGTCTTTCAGGAAATGAGGATGCACCCCAACCCCACATTCCTTGGGCAAAACTGCCTGCTATGGGGACTGTGGCTGGATCCCCAAATACTTTTGATGGATTTCAGTTGTCCACACCAATAGTTCCACCCTGTAACAGAAATAATTGAGAGTTGGCCCTTGAGCCATTCTCTATTGCTCAGGCCCGCTTCTAATTCTCTGAAGTGTACTATCTCTTCTAATAAACTGCTTTTTCACTAATAGTAATAATAATAATAATAATAATAATAATAATAATAATAATAAACAGTTGATTATACTCAGGGATATTTAAAATAAAGCCTGCTTTTATTGGAATAACCATTCATTTAAAATGTGTATAGTGCATCACATAGTTTAAGGTCAATAACAGAAAAATGGTACAGAATAAGAAGAAAGATGTTTGATCTCTATTATAAAGGATTCTGTTAGTTATAAGAAAGTACTCCTGATTAATGGAAAATGGGTAAGCCCAGGAATCAATGATTCAAAAATGTGAAGGTCTATCTCTGAGAAGATCCTTTCATATCTGTCTGGAATATGATTCTTGCTAATGTAAGAAGATAAGCTTGCAGATTTCTAGAATTTTTCAGCTTTAGGATTTGAAGATGTTCTGAGCTTCAGTGGACCTAGATCAAGAAGCACATGCTGATATATTCTCAGTTTGATGTATCTGAGCTGTAGCTATAAGCTTACCTCATGGGTTAACTACACACTCATATCTCTCCTTTAAGGCTGAGGACTCCCCAAAGGATGGGACCTCTGGGAATTCTTGGAGAGTGTGTATAGTCCCACTTAAAAATTTTTACCTACAATTTAAACTTAAACCAAGGTTATTTTCTTACCACTCTTTCCTTTTTTTCATTTTCAGGTGAATTTCCATACATACTGAAAAGTAAGTTTATCAGTCTTTTATGCAGGTCAGTATGGCTAGAAGAGAAAGCATTGATTGAAAGAGATTAACCCCAAGAACTGGTCCTCCCAACATTATATTTATAACTCCCATTTTAGAAACATTCCAAATAGAGACTTTTATAGGTTTTCTTTACTTCTAGCCTCCCCTTCCCAAGTCCCCATGTCCATGCCTAAACTCTGAAGGCACCTTCAAAAGGTTCTCCAGTCTCCCTTTCATACCCTCTATCCAGCAGAATTCCCTTTTGATAAGAAAATCTAAGACCTGCATGACAGAGGACTTTCTGCATTTGGTTGGTTCTTTTGTTACTAATTTGTCTTTTCTGAAATCTTATTGGTTTCATCTTCCAATTTCCATTCTCTTCTCTCCCATTTCCAGCATATAAAATCTCCATCTCTGGAACCACAATAGAGTTGGCATGCCCGGAGGGTTTCGAAGGTCCAAGCATAAAATGGGAAAAAAATGGGGTAGAATTAACAGAAGAGAGCCACCTATTATCACTGAACACTTTATCAGAACTGGAGGTCAGTGGTTATTATTCCTGCTACAGCAACGAAAAGGAAAAGGGCCATCTTCTCTACCTGAAAGCAAGAGGTAATATAAGTCTCCTGAGCAAGCACTGCCAGATTCTTTAGGGAAGACCATTTCAAAAGGGCGTTCTCAATCATTTGCCCTAACCCAACTCACAGTCCCCTGGAATCTTTGTGCTTCTTCTGTACTCAATACTGGGACTCCCTGGGGCCACACGGCATCAGTGTTTTCTAAAATATAGATTGAATACCAATATGGGGCTATCTGGGTAAGCTCAGTCAGCACTTGATCTGAAACAACTTCCCAAGCAACAGGATTGGGTCATTTGCATTATAGCACATCCAGAATGATGGCACACTGATCGATACGAGTTCATCTGATGCTTTATCCAGAGATAAATTCTTCAGGAGGATTTGCAAAGGAGACTCAGAACTACTATAATAAAATGTCATAAGCTAAGGCATAATAACAAACAATAATGATAACTAACATTTACTGAGTGCTTATTAAGTTTCAAGCACTATACCAAACACTTGGCCAGGGATTTTTTTATTTTTTTTTTAGCTGAGCCATCCTGCCACCTATTGGCAGCTCAACGGCTGCTCAGCTCGGGCCGGGGATCGAACCACTGTTGCTCATCACTCACACTCTTGAATGAGCCCTTAACCAACTGAGCCACTCAGCTGGCCCTTTTTTTGTTTTTAAAGAAGCCAGATAGCTGGATTTTAATGTAAAATCCCTTTTTTTTTTAATTGGAGAGTTGGGGAAGGGGAACATCCAAGTTGTTGTCCTTCAATCTTAGTTGTGGAGGGCACAGCTAGCCCAGCTACAAGTCCAGTCACCATCCGGCCACCCGTTGGCAGCTCAGGGCAGCTCAGCTCAAGGTGCAGTGTTCAATCTTAGTTATGGGTGGGCATAGCCCACCATCCCATGCAGGAGTTGAACCAGCAACCTTGTTGTTAGGAGCACGTGCTCTCACCAGCTGAGCCATCCTGACACCTGTTGGCAGCACAGCAGCAGCTCAGCTCGGGCACAGCTCACTGGCCCAGGTGGGAATCGAACCGGCGACCCTGTTGCTCAGAGCTCGCACTCTTAACCAACTGAGCCACTCGGCCAGCCCAGCCAGGGATTTTTTTCATGTAATCCTCTCAACAACCATATGAGTTAAGTGTTATTTTATTCCCATTTTATAGATGAGGGAACAGAGTCTTTGTGGGTTGAAAATACATTTCACAATTCTCACAGCTAGTGAGAAATGGAGCTGGAACTTGAACTCAGACTGTCTAATGCCAGAGCGTCTACCCACAATAGTCACACTTTGCTTGTTGTTATAAACGTATTGAAAGGGAGGGCTCTGGACATGGGCAGCATGTGAGTATTGAAGGGAGAATCACCTTCATTTGTGTCTTCCTTTTTCGGTGATTTTTCCTTTTTCGGTGATTTTTCCTCTTCTCCCCATCCTCCCATCCCCAAAAGTATGTGAGAACTGCATGGAGGTGGATCTGATGGCAGTGGCTGCAATCATCATAGTCGACATCTGCATCACTCTGGGCTTGCTGCTGGTGGTATATTACTGGAGCAAGAATAGAAAGGCCAAGGCCAAAACTGTGACCAGAGGAATGGGTGCTGGTGGCAGGCCCAGGGGTAAGACCATGGAGTTGGGTTGGAGGAGATTCCCACCAAGGGGGTGTCCAGCCTGGGCCAGGATGGGCAGCAAGTGCATGGTTAGGTCAAGACAGCTTCTGTAGAATATTCACTATGTTGCCAAGATCTTGACAGATGTTTTCACATCACAGATCACTCTTCTCCTTCCCACCTTAGAAAAGTGCCAACAAGTTTATTAACAGGATGAGCTTCCTCCAATGCCTGTCAGTATTCTGGAATAATTACATTCCACCCTTAGTCCGTAGGGAGAGAGATTTTGGGAAATTCGTTTCTGCTTTTCTTTTTCTTCTTCCATGAGAAAGGAAACCGTGGAAGGACCTTAAGCTGAGGAAAGTCACAAAATGATAAGAACAATGCAGGAGGCTTTAGTGATGGGATGAAAGAAAGAAAAGAGAAAGGGCGGCTGAAATGGAAAAGGGGAGAAGTAGAAGAAAGAGCGAAGGAGTTTGCCATCCTTGATCTGGGTCTCATTGCCACAGGAGTGGCATTTCTGCATGGAAACAAATCCTTCCCCTCTCTCTCCTCTCCAGGACAAAACAAAGAGAGACCACCACCTGTTCCCAATCCAGACTATGAGGTAACAAGGGATAGAGTGGGGAGAAGGGAGGAGGCAGGACTGTTCATCTGGCCTGCCAGATACTTCAAAGCCCCTCACTCAGTCTCCAGAACAACCCACCATGTGCCTGCCTCTGCCTCCTTCATGGTAGAACAAGGCCATCTCAAAGGTTTCATGGCTTCCACCCCAAGGAGTGGTTGTGGTGGGAGGGAGTGACACTCCTCTTTCAGTCTTTTTTTTAATTCATTAGCTGGGACACGGTGATGGGAAATACCATACATGTAAATTCTAACATGATAAACTCAGGACTGATGTTCCACCAGAATGCACCAGTACAGTCATACCAGTTGTTGCATTATTAATATACTCCACTGGTAAATAGCTCTAAGCTCCTCCACCTCCAACACACACTGCCAGACTTAACAGCCTCTCCCCCACTCGACTACCTCTTGATTTGGCAACAAAAGACTTAATGTCTGGAATAGCAGAGAACCATCAAGATTGTTCTGATTGGTTGCTGTGTGTCTACTACCAATTGTTAAATATTTTGAATATCACACTTGGACAAATTCAACAAATATTTATTGAGCACTGGCCAAGCATGTGGTATTTACTTTCCCATGAGTGACTTCATTTAGTTCTGACAAAAGCCCTGAGAAGTGGATCTTTAAATTTCATTTTTGAGATGGGGAAGCTGAGACCCATGGAAGGAGGTGATCAAATCAAGTCTATTACCAGTCAATGCCAAGGTAGAGTTCGGGCCTGCCTCCTGACTCCTAGTCCAATGTTCATTCCATTGTACTAAAGCTAAATCTTCAGAGATTATCCGTTTTAGAAACCACTTCCTCCTATCCTGCTCACCACCCCCTCTCTGTTCCATCCCTAGCCTATCCGGAAAGGCCAGCGGGACCTGTATTCTGGCCTGAATCAGAGAGGCATCTGACAGCTCCTGAGGACATTGCCTCCCATTGGCCCAGGCCTGGCTCCTCTCCAGGCACCCTGCTGCTCCCTGTTCCCTGGGCAAGTCTTGGACTCCGCAGAATTGTTCCTCTGCCTCTTATGGAACTCACACTTGCAGCCCTGTCCCCAGCTCCCAGCTCCCTCCTTCCTGCCTTCTCTGCTGCTTCAATGTCCTTTGAAATACGGTAGCTACTCACCCCTCATACTTGGCCTGCATTCTTGTCAGGAAGTTCATTTCTGTTACTTACCACCACCCCCAATTCCTTCCTTCCCTGGTGGATTTTAATTCTTCCTTTAGTCACCTTCTTTTTCCTGCGTGTAAAGTACCCCATCCCTATTTCATCTACCTTTCTATTTTTCCAGCTCTCTCATTGGTGACTTTCTGTGGGAATGAACTGGATAAATGCTGGCCAAGTCATAGACCCTGGCCCAGAGCCAGCCCTTTGTTTCCTCTCCCCTGTCTCCACTGTTGGCCCCTGGATGATCATTTCCATCTCCAGGCTCCTTGCCGGCTGAGAGAGAAATGAAATAAAGTGTATTTGGCTGAAAGAATTGCTGTCCCTCTTTTCTGGGATGCCTTGTTTCCTGAAACAACTCAGGTCCTCCCTCCCTTTGACTAAATTCCCGACAGTGATCCCAAAGGCAAGTACTACCCATTTTCACAGTGGTGAGATGAGTCATTTGACTAACTTTTCTTAGAGAAAACATCAAGGTTGGCAGAGACTGAATGATGGGTCTCTGACAGAGTGGTTAGTTCAGAAAATGGGTGAGATAGAAACAGAGGCCTTAAAAGACAGCAGATGGGAAGAGTGGAGGTATAAGGGGGTGGAGGATGGGACACAGATTTCCACAAGCTGCCTTGACGGAAGAGACACAGAGCCAGTGCTACAGGAAGTGGGGGAAGGAGGTGCTGTCAAGCAGGCACCACTCCCTCCACTCTGAGAGGCAGCAACCTGCAGCCAAAATCAGCTGCGGTTTAGCAGCCAGGATGTGGGCTGTGTGCTGCCACCAGTGAGGCTCAGAGAGGTGCAGCAGCAGCCAGAAGCCAGTAGGACAGGGCTTCTTTCTCGGTCTCCCAGAGTACACGCTCAGCGTGCAGAGAGAAGAGGCCAGAGCTCAGGCCAGGGGGCTCTCTTCTGTCATGTTCATAAATTAGGAGACATTATCATTAAGATGCCAATTCTCCCCAAGTTGATCTATAAATTCAATGCAATCCTAATCGGAATACCAGCAGGCATTTTGTAGTAAGAATTTGAGAAGCCAATTCATACAGGAGTGACAAGGAACTAGAATAGCGAAACTACTTGCTTTAACAGTTGTATCCCAGCCATTCCACTTCTGAGTATTTATCCAACAGAAATAAAAGCATATGCCCACACAATTACATATATATAAATGTTCATAGCAACTTTATTTGTAATAGCCCAAGTCAGTAAACAACCCAAAAGACTATCAACAGGTGAATTGATAAGCAACCATGTTAGAGCCATACAATGGAATATTACTGAATAATAAGAAAGGAATGAACTATTGATAGATGTAACAAGATGGATAAATCTCAAAATAATTATGCTGAGTGTAAGAAGCTAGACCAGAAAAGGGTACATAGTATATTATTTCATTTATGTAAACTGTAGAAAAATAAAAACTAATTTGTAACAACAGAAAGCAGATCATTCATTACCTGGAGGGTGGGGAGATACGGAGAGGAAGGAGGGAGAGACTGCATGAAAAGGGGCACAAGGAAACTGTTTAGGGTGTTGGATATGTTCATTATCTTGATTGTGGTGACATTTCACAAGTGTGCCAAAATTTACCAAATTTTATCCTTTAAATATATGCGGTTTATTTATGTCAGTTTACCTCAGTAAATCTGTTTCTCAAAAGCGCAAAAAAAGAAGAGAACCAAAAGGGACACAGGTCCTAGAAGGGCTCAGATGGAGGGCAGTGTTTCCCCAACCTTGGCTTCCCTGTAAAGTCACCTTAAGTCCTGATGCCCCAGACCAATAAAATTAGAATCTCTGGGAGTAGAATCACCAGTGCCTTTAAAGCTCCTCAGGAGATTCCAACATGCAGCCAATGTTGAGAAATGTTGAGAGGTATAGGGGTGATGGTGTAAGAGTATATGAGAAATACAAGGTAAAAGGAAGTGTGCAGGTGTGGGAAGGACACAAGCACTCGCGCAATATAAGCCATGAAAGGGTTGACCAATGGAGGGATCCAATGTGAAAGCAAGATCTAGAATTTGGAGGACTATCGTAGTAGGGACATAAAGGGTAAGAATAAGTCATAACCATGAATGCAGCATGTGTTATAAACTGGAAGTTCATTCTGTCTCTACCAAATTTACGGTCTGTGAATATCTTGAAGAGCTATGGGCAGAATCATCGAGATCTCTGTCTATGTGGTTGGTTAAATTTTTTTCTCTTTTGGGAACCCTGGTCTAAAAAACACCACTCTCATTAAACTGCCCTGAAGTTCCTTAAATTATTACTCTTACTCAGAGAACAAAAGGAGCAGTCCCCACCTATGGTAGATAGGAACAGGCACTAAGGATACAAGAGAGTCAAGTGACCTTAACGTTTCCTTTAACCAGAGTATCTCTGAATTGGGGCTGTCTCAGAATCACGAGGGACTACATGCCTATATTCTTAACAAGTCCCTTGGTGTCCCAAAGCTTCAGAACCACCACTAAACCACTACCTGAAGATGACATCTATTGAAAATATCCTAAACCCCTACCCAGTCTCAAACTCTAGCTTACCAGGTGAGTGGAGAGGAATGATGTGTTTTAATTGATGCAGGGTTTCTGATGCCAGAAACATGCAGAAGAGAGAGCGGGGCAGGTTCTGGGGAAGGAAGATAAATAGTACTGAAGGGGCCTAAGCTAAGACCTCAGAGCTAATGGCTGCTGCTCAAAGAGGGTCACAAAGCCAAAGCCAACCAACCCCTTAGCAGAAGTGGAACTTTCTCACACACATTCTCCAAGTCTTGATAAGAAGTGAGTCCCAGGGCCCTTGATGTCTCCACCACCTCCGCTCGTGATGTCATGGAAACTTCTGTGTGGCTAGGTTCCTGAACACAGCAGCTGCCCTCAGCTGTGGTGGGAAAGCCAAAACTCTGGGAAGGTTATGATAGGGGGCTGCATGGGGGCAATAAGTAACCAGGGGAGTGTGGTAGGGCAGATCCTGCACCCAGGGAGCCCACCAGGCCAGGAACTCCAGTGAGCCACGATGTGGTGTGAGACTTCCCATCACACTGTCTATGTGGGCAGAGGAAGGGGAGTGATGGGAAGTGAAGGGAAGTGACACGGGAGAGCAGGGAGGGTAAGGGCATTGCCGAGTCAGGACAGCTCCCATGATTTGCCCAGGAGCTTTGAAAAGTCCAGGCTCCTGCTGAGTAAGAGAGGACATCTTTATTGGTTGAGCAAGAAGAGAAGGTACAGTCCATAAGTGAAGCTCTTATAAACCACAAGTCTCAGGTTCGCTTGTTCCGAGGCCAGTTTTCACCAAGACGACTGTACTGAGCATCGTTCCGATCTCGAAGGGGCTAAGAGATAAGAAGGGGAAACAGTGTAACAGACTGAGGACTCTCCTGGGAAGGACCCCAGCAGGTCCCAAAGATAAGAGCTTATGCCTGACCTTTGCAGACCGTTTCCCCGCAGAATTCTCTGTTATGACCCCACATACTTGCACATAACACCCAGTGTCAGCTTCTCCATCCCCACTCACACCTCCCATCTCATCTCTTTCTCCTCAGGGCTCACCTGATAGAGCTGGTCATTCCTCAATAGAGCTTGAGTGTCAGCAGCTAGAAGAACCAGGGAAAGAGAGTTTTATAAAAGGCATAGAGGATGAGCGAGTGAGACCCCATGAATACTGCAAGACGGCCTGCAGCTGGTCCCACCCTCAGAAGTCTATGAGTAATATGGGCACACAATTTCTTTCAATAACCAGATGTAAAAATCTTTATGAGATTGCAAGAGTGATTCCCAGATAAGACAACCCACTGCCAGTCCCATTCCTTAGCAGGTGCACACTCACACCCATACCCACAACACACAGACGTGCGGGTGCACACATATGCTCTGTCCCTTCCACTTACCCCTAGAAAGCCTTCCAGTCTCATGTCCAGTAAAGCAATAGACTCCCAAAGCAAGGAGCAGAGTGGCGATGATGTCAGTGACAACAATGCTAGCCAGTGTAGCCGAGTCCAGCTCCACACAGTTCTGGCACACTAGGGGAAGGGAGATGAAAGGAGAGGTGGGAAACATCCCTGCCCCCCTAGTGCAGCCCTAGGATCTCCCATGCTTCAGATCCTTGGAGAGAGGCTTGCAGATGGCCTTGCTATATCCATTTCTACCCTTCATCCCAAGCAATCCCTAAGGAAAGCCAAGAAGTAGTCTCAGCTTTATAGGAACTTAGGGCAGGAGGCCAAACCACTCTCCCAAATAAGCCCCTACTGCTCATGTCACAAGGCCCCTACTGCTCTTTCTCCATTAGAGCACAAAATCTGGGGCACAAAATCTGGTTTGTACCATTATAAGAGTGACCCCACCACAGCCCCCTCCAACTAGAAAGTTCTCAAATCCAGAGGCCCCATTCATTCCAACCCAAAGTGTTCAAGAGACACATACTTCGGTAATATACTTGCAAAGTAGACACAGGGTTGTTGTTGTATGTCCCATTGCATTTATACAGTCCTCGTGGGTCCAGGATGCGTTTTCCCAAGTTCAGATATCTGTTGCTTATCAGGTCTCCCCTCATTCCCTCTATCCACGTGATGTTGTTGTCGCAGTTCACAAACACTTTGTCCTCAAGCTCCTCCACTTCAACGGGGCTCACTAGGGAAAAAAAATACCACAACTGGAGCCAGCACTTTGGTCTAAGCCAGACTTCTTGTTTTGCTGAGGCTCATACCTAAGAAAGACCACTTTCCAAGTCTAAGACAGTTTATGGTTTCCAGCGAGAGAGATAGAAGTCACAAGAGAAAGGCTTTGGGAGGCTCCCCATGAACTGCAGGGGCCAGGAAGGATACAAGGATATGGTCCCAGCAAAGGGCAGGCCCTGATGGACAGAGCGAAAGAGGAACCATGGAGCTGGGGTGATCTAAGAACCTTTCTGGAAATGAGTTCAGACCATTGATTAGAAGCAGGAGGGGAGCATACTGAAGCACCCAAGAGGTATGGAAAGGCAGAATAGTCCTTGCTTGAAGATGTTCATATTTTTCCTCCAGGAAAACTTCTAATTCTACTTCCCAGTCACCACCTACAACACCCCCACTTCAACTTCTCTCTCTTTATTCCCTCTTTACCTCACCCCCAATAACTACCAAGAGAATGGACCTCTCACTTACTAAAGTCTTTCCCAGGGCCAATGATAGTTAGGGTTAGGTGAGAAACTGGTATGACTTACCAGCTCGATGGTTCAAAAGAGGACTCAGGGCAAATCCCATGTAAAGATTTTCAGTTTTTCTACCCTTGCTTAAGGGGAGGGGAACAGAAAATTTATTTTTTATCAGATCCATTCTTGGGGCTCCACATAAGTCAAGTCTTGTGGCGCGTTTAAGGGCTTGAGGTATACATAGCACTTTTCTAAATCCACAGAAATTGTTTTGACCAAGAGAGCTCCACAGCCCAGAGGCACTGAAATCTGTCTCGAATCCCAGGGAAAAGTGGAATCTACATTCTCCCTGAGCTTCATACTCAGTTGCTAATTTGGATATGAGAGCATCTTCTAGAAAACCCCAATGCCTCTGAAGCAAGTCAGGAATGTATGTGTATATACTCAGGGAGACACATGTACATCAGATACTTCACATCCTACACTCATGTCTTCCTTGGGGATCTGTTTCCAATAAAATGCTGGATGTACCAAAGCAGCTGATTCTTAGGGTAACCATTCATTCCACTTTGTCTGGGATTGAGGAGGTTCCTGCGACATAGGACTATCAGTTTTAAAAACAGGCAAATACGGATGAGTTAGTCATCCTACTACCCCAAATATGCCCTCCATCCTACTCAATCTAAAGTTAGCTTTTCTCTTAACACATTCCCCTAAGTGCTAAAACATGGCTCCAAGAGGTGACATAATGATGGCCTAATGACCAAGAGTCCTGGACCCCAGAGGCTATCTGTCTTAGAAAGAACAGTGCTTCCATACCAGCCCTAGGCTCTGGCACACACTTATCACAACATTTCCTACAGATTTCTGGCCTAAGGCCTTCAGAGAGATGCTCAAGGCCAAAATGCTCAAGATGCTCAATGGCCTAACTGGAGTTGGTCAAAGCTGAGCCTGTTTCGCAGACCCTGCACTGCATCCCAACACTGCCCTCCTTGACAACCCTGCCTAGTGAATTGAAACTAGCATTGAGAAGGACTTTCAAGTGGACTTCACTCCAGGTGGTAACGTTCCTATCAGGTCCCTTCTCTAAGATGCTCCCACCCACCTGGAGAAGCCTTACCTTGGAAGAGAAGGACAGCCAGTATCAGGCTAGCCAGAAACCTGCCGTGTTTCATCTTCCAACAGAATTCATCTAGTAGATAGATCCAGACCACAGAACTATCAGCCAGGGTGAGAGCTGCCCTCCCCCAACTGACTCACTGGTACCGGAAAAAGTAAAGGGTGGGGGAGGAACTAGAAGACGCCTATTTCTCTACTGTCTGCCATTGGTGATGGGAGACTGTCAGGGTAGGAGTAGGCTGGGGGTGAGGTAGGAAGGATGCAGGTGCAAATTGCTCTCTCTGAACATGGAGCTTAGGGGTGAAATAAAAGGGTAAGCAGGGACTATGGAAAATGTTGCCTGGACTTCTGGGAAGGAAAAGATTTAGGATGTCCTTTCCTGAGTTCCTGATAAAAAAAAAACAACCCAAGAACTTCAGAGTTTCTATGAACAACATAACTACATTTAGTCACAACGTGAAAACTGCCATATCCCAAAATTTGAGAGAAGTTGTGAGTCCCATCCCATACTGGCTAAGTTCCTCCCACCTCTGGTCTTTCTTGGGACCCTGGCCAAGATCCTCTTGGGGGAGTTTGGACAACAAACTACATAGCTTCTTACCAGTGGGAGGTTGGGCTTTGGAGCCCCTCAGCCAGAGAATTGAATTCTAGCTCCAATACTGCTGCCCTCCTGGCCTGGGCCAGTCATGAAATTTTTCAGAGTCTAATTTCCTTGGTATCATGATAAGGTGTTGTTTTTTTAATTATTTTTTTTTATCTTTTCATCACTGTTGACATTCAATGTTATATTACTTGCCAGTATACAGAATAGTGGTTAGACATTTATATAACTTACGAAGTAATCCTCCTGATAAGTCTTGCACCCACCTAACACCATTCATAGTTGTTATAATATTATTGACTTTTTTCCCTAAGCTAACTATTCCTTGTGACTGTTTTGTAACTACCAATTTGTACTACTTAATCTCTTCACCTGTATCATCCAGTCCCCAAACCCCCTCCCATCTGAAAACTATCAGTTTGTTTCTCTATCTATAAGTTTGCTTCGGTTTTGTTCATTTATTCTGCTTTTTAGATTCCATATATAAGTGAAATCATATGGGGTTTTTTTTCTCTGACTTATTTCATTTAGCATAATACCCTCTAGGCCCATCCATGTTGTTGTAAATGGTAAGATTTCATTGTTTTTTTATGATATGTAGTGGTTGTCATTTTATTAATTGTTTTCTGATTGTCTTTATAGTTCTCTGTTCTTTTTTATTCTCTTGCTCTCTTCTCTTGTATGTTTATGACTTTCTGTAGTTTTGTGTTTAGATTCCTTTCTCTTTATTTCTTGTATATCTCTTGCAGATTTTTGGTTTGTGGTTACTTGTGCTTCATATATACCAAGGTATGTTTATAGCAGTCTATTTTAAGTTGACGGTCGCTTAAGTTCGAACACATTCTAAAATCACTACCATTTTTACTCACTCCCTCCACATTTATGTTTTTGACACTATTCTTTTCTTCTGTATGTTTGTATGTGTGCCTTAATTTACTGTTGTAATTATACATGACCTTCCTAATTTTGCCTTTTAACCTCTAGCATCGGTTGGTCCACTGTTTTTATTATGTGTTTGCTTTTGTCAGTGACATTTTTTCTTTGCAATATTTTCTTATTCATGTTTTTTATTTTTTTCTTCTTCTTAAAGAAGTCCCTCTAAGATTTCTTGTAATACTGATTTGGTGGTGATGAATTCCTTGAGCTTTTTCTTCTCTGGGAAGCTCTGTATGTCTCCTTTAATTCTAAATGATAGCTTTGCTGAATAGAGTAATCTTGGATGTAGGTCCTTGCTTTTCATCACTTTTGTGCCAATCTCTAATGGCCTGCAACATTTCTGTTGAGAAATCAGCTGACAGTCTTATGGGAGCACCCTTGTAGGTAACTAACTGCTTTTCTCTTGCTGCCTTTAAGAGTCTCTTTGTCTTTAACCTTTGACATTTTAATTATGACGTGTCTTGGTGTGAGTCTCTTTGCGTTTATCTTGTAAGGGACTCTCTGCACTTCCTGGACTTGTATGTCTATTTTCTTCACCAGGTTAAGGAAGTTTTCTGTCATTATTTCTTCAGGTAGGTTTTCAATCCCTTGCTCTCTATCTTCTCTTTCTGGTACCCTTATAATGCAAATGTTGTTGTGCTTTATGTTGTCACAGAGGCCCTTTAAACTATCCTCATTTTTTAAATTATTTTTTCTTTTTGCTGTTCTAATTGGGTGTTTTCCACTACTTTGTCTTCCAAATTGCTGATTTGATCCTCTGCTTCATCTAATCTGCTGTTGATTCCATCTAATGTATTTTCCATTCATGTTAAGGATTTGAACAAAATATTTGCATGGTGCCTGACACATCATATGTGCTCAATGAGACACAGTTATTAATAACAATATGATTGGCTCACAGGCAGAATTGAGCCTGCCCAGGAGACAAATGGACTTTTTTCTCCTATAGACTGTGAGGGTCCAAAATTTTCTGCACTGCCATTAGTTGGACTGTAATTTACCTGAGGTCAGAGATCATGTATGTCTCACTCACTTCTGTATCTCCAACACTTGGCTTGTGTCTGGTACATAACAAGAGCTCTATGCATTTTTGTTGACTCACTGACTGAGGGAGACAGGGGCCTGAGATCCTGAAAACTCAGCTCAGGGCCTGGTCCTTAGAAGTGTATGACCTGTCTTGTTGGAATTGTCCTACCTATTCCCTTCCAGGCAGGCATCTCTTTGAATATTTCATCTCAAAAGACAGTGAAAATTTCCTGAATGAGGACCTGAAGTGAGATGGCTTTCTAGTCAGAGCTCCAGTGCCAAGCACCCGAGAGTTCTCACCTAAATTCGTTCATTCTAGTGAAAACTAGCAACAAGCAGCAACTGGCTGAAATAACAGCAGCAAGTGCTGTCAGAGACATGTATCAGTTCAGTAGGGCATGGGGACTTCCAGCCTGAGTAAGGGGCCTCATGAAGGAAGAGGCCCAGGTCATCTCCTACCCGGCACCCAAGGCAGTTAGTTCTCTGCACAAGCCAGAGTCTCCGACGTGAGAATCCAGTAGTCTCTCCCCCTCCCTCCCCGCCATCTCCCACCCTACACTCTTTAACGGAAAAGCAAGAGACATCTGCACCTGCCGCTTTGCTGCGGCCCCAGCTGCCCACACTTGAAGCAGAGGGTGGAGGCTCTGGGTTCTTGCCTTCTCGCAGGGGCCCCACACTGAAGGATGCTGGGCGGAGCCAGGCTAGCTGCTGCACAGGCTGGCTGACTGCTAGGGGCTGCTCAGTGCTTCTCCAAGGAAAGGACAGAGACTAACATGGAGCAGAGGAAGCATCTGGCTGGCCTCCTCCTGGCCATCTCTCTTCTTCAAGGTAAGGACCTGCTAGGGGGTCTCACAGCCTAGAGAAAGACTCAAGGAAAGAGGCCATAATCAGGAGGACAAGAATATTGGGATCGTTAACCTTGAGCCTACCTCAGCTATCACCTTTGAGTTCTCGGATGGGCAAAAATGAAGACTCTGACTATTCTCTGCCAGAGAGAAGCAGTGTCCTATGAGAGGGATGGGGTTCTTGTCTCTTGAGAAATCAAAACTGAGGACTTAACCAGCTAGAAAGAGGACCCGGATGTCACCATTTTATGTTTGAATGTAGCCCAAAAGGGCACAGGCCATGAACATGAAAGGAAAAGGTATGTGTTTTTTAACTCAGAGCTGGGGTTGGGGTAGACCTGGGAAGCATTCACTCACTCAGTTGGTCAGTTTGTGAACTACTCAAGAAGTATGGGTGAGATCTTATTATGTGATAGGCTAGGAATATGCAAAGACAAATGAAAACCTTCTGCCCTAAAGAACTCATAAACTGGAGAGGTAAGTTTCCGTGTTTCCAGAATGAGTGTAAGGTACAATGTAAGATGCCTGTATGAATATTCAGTTGTAAATATCCAACAGCAAGTGGATGAACTAGGCCAATGCCTCTCGTCTGAACCAGAGACTGTTCTTCACATCATGGGGGAAGCTAACATCATGAAAGTTGTTGAAATCACACAAGTACTATGTGAGATATGAGGAAAGTGGGGCTGAGGATGGAACTATGAGAATACCAACCTTTAAAAGTTAGAGAAAAAAACATCTGAGGAAAGAGATAAGGGAATGATCAAAGTGCTGGAATAATTAGATGGGTCCAATATCATAGAAACTAAGGAAGTAGAGAGCTTTCAGAAGGAGAAATTCACTGAGAGTATGAAATATTAAAGAGCGATCCACTAATATAAGAATATATATAAAAGTTTAAGTTTGTGGGATTTGAAAAAATAAAGGTCATAGATGATTTAGAAAGTTTCATTGGGGTAGTATGAATGAAAGCCAAATGGAAATGAGTAGAAGGTGAAGGGCAGGTGATAAAGAGAAGCAAGTGTAGCCTATTCTTTAAGAAAGTTTGGATGAGAAGGGAGAGTTTGTGTGGTAAGTAGAGGTGGAAATAGAGTCTAAGAAGAAACTTTTTTGAGGGAGAGATGTTTGAGCACATTTCTAGGCTAAAGGAGAAGATAGTGAGTAGAGTGAGGTCCTGGAGCTAATATTAGAAGAATGCAGTCAAGAGTGGGGTCAAGGGGGCCGGCCGAGTGGCTCAGTTGGTTAACAGCGCAAACTGTGAGCAACACGGTCAACGGTTCAATTCCCACATGGGCCAGTGAGCTGCGCTTGAGCTGAGCTGCCCCTGAGCTGCCAACAGGCTGCAGGATGGCTCAGCTGGTGAGAGCACATGCTCCTAAAGACAAGGTTGCCGGTTCGACTCCTGAATGGAATGGAGGGCTGTGCTCCCCCCTTATCCTATCCCCACCTCCCCGCAACTAAGATTGAACACAGCACCTTGAACTGAGCAGCCGCGCTGCCGTCGGGTGACGGGATGGCGACTGGACTTGGAGCTGAGCTAGCTGCACCCTTCACAACTAAGATTGAAGGACAACAACTTGCCTATTTCCCTTCCCCGATTCCCCAACACTGTTCCCCTTCCCCAATTCCCCAATAAAATATTTTAAAAAGAGTGGGGTCAAGGGCACAGAGGGGAAGGCAACCTTACCCTCTGAGACTAAAAAGAAGGAAGTATAGATGCCTTCGGCCATAGATAGGCTTGTAAGCTGAAGAAGAAAGGGCCATTACAGCATCTCAAGGTACTAAGAGGGAGGTAATGCCAACTGCTGAAATTCAGCTGGGTGATGGTTGGATGGGGGACTTGAAGAGGATAATTAGAGTTTAGAATTATTTCTGAGGGGACTGGAGGAAGACAACACAGGTTGTTGCGGGGCAGTGCTGAAAGCCTGTGTGAAGCAGCTCTTTCTGTATAGCAGAAAGAGCCCAGAGCTGAGTGATAGAAACCTGAGTTCAGCCACCAGTGAGCTGTGTGAACTTGGACAATGCCGCTGGGCTCAGTTTTCTCAGCAGCCAACCTAGGAAATTAGGCTACATGAGCTCTGAAGTCCTAGAAGGAAATAGGACTCAGATAAGCAAAATTAAAAGATGTCAGCAATCAGTTAGATCCTCTTTCCTATGGAGTCTGAGTTAGAATGAGGGGCCTCTTTGCCCCTCTCATGGTGTCTAGATGGTCAGGGAGAAGAGCTAGTGAGAAATCCGCTTAACTGTTTGTCTAACCTTTTTTTTATTCACTGTTTTATTCATTCATGTATTCATTCAACAAATATAAAGCTCCTATCATGTTTTAGGTAATGTGCTGGGTACTATTTATAAACAGTTCAGCCTTCTGTGAAGTTCTAAGACAGTTGACTCCTTCCAACCATTTCTATCATACTTTCATTCATGCTCTATTTCTTTTCCTCTAGCCACACTACCTCTCTTGTCCTTTTCCAACTCTGTATTTTTGCTCAGCTATTCTTTCTCCCCAAAATGCCTTTCTCTGGTGAGTTCCTACTCATTTTTCAAGGCCCAGTCAATTGCACCTTCTCTGTTAAGTTTTTCCTGTCACCTACCCTTGGGCAAAATCAATAGCTTCTATCCCCTTTCACATGTATTCATATAAGTACTAAATGATAATTTATGTTTTATTACATTAACTACATATGTGTTTATTTTTTTTCCACTTCATTGTAAACTCTTTGGAAGCAGCAAGTAGTTCTTCATATTACCACCCTTTGCTTTCACACTGCTTAATCATGTCAGGTACATAATACTGCTCAGTAAATGTTTGAATTAAATCCAACTGAATTCAATTCCAGTTATAGTTCTCTATAGTACATCCATGCAACTCTATTACTCTGAGTTTTGAGACAGATTTGAGGTCTATTGAATAGCTAACTGATGGGACATCCAGGGTTTCTACAATAAATTATCACAAGTGTGAATATTTAGAAGTAACTCAGCTATCAAAGGCTTTAGCTAGTGCACACCCACTCCTTGCCAGGGCTCTAGCTGCTAAAGGAACAGAGCATTTCAGACTTTACAGGCAATACCCTTACATATACTGCAACATAATAGTGTTGCTAACAATCCAGAGTTAGCATCAGACCCCATAGATTAAGGGCACAGTCACCAATAAGACTATCCTCACTTTAAATGCCAGACACAAGTTCAGGAGCCTCCAGAACACCCACACTTCTGAATAACTGGCTCCAAATCTGGAGGGTTCCCACGACGCTCTCAGGACTGATAATTTGCTAGAAAAACTCACAGAATTTAGGAAAACACTATCCTTACTATTAGTTTTATTATAAAATTCAGACTTGCCAGATGAAAAGACACATAGGGTGGGGTCTGGGAGGCTCCTGAGCACAGAGTTTCTGTGCCTCCCTGTGGAATCAGAACACATCACCTTCCTGACACATTGATGTGTTCACTAACCAGAAAGCTGCTGAGTTTTCATTGTAGTTTTATTACATAGGTGTGATTTATTGAATCATTGGCCATGTGACTTACGTAACTCAATCTCCAACATCCCTCCCCTCCCAGAGCTCAAAATCCCAATTCTCTAATCACATGGTTGGTCTTGACTAGCCCTATCCTGAGTCATCTTATTAGCATAAACTTATGTATGGTCCAAAGACCCACCAAGAATAACAAAAGCATTCCTATCACTCATGAAATTCCAAGGGTTTAGAAACTCCCTCTCAGGAACCCAGGACAGAAAACAGACAAATTTTTTATTATACAACACCCTGAATTCAACTTAGTGATTTAGACTACACTCCAGGGAAATAGATATAGATATACTGTCACTTCTGTCGATTAGGATCTCTCTCCATTTTGGCCTCAAATGACCATGTAAATGATACCTCAGAGCATCTGAATGAATCCCTTCCCAGCTGATCCTGTCTTTCTTTTGTCCCTATAGGTATTATTGCCCAGTCGGAACAAGGTAGGAAAATGGCTTCTTTCTGTGCTCAAACTCTGAGGAAATGTATGGAAATATGACTTCCTACAACAGTGGTTCTGGGATAAGATGATGAGTGATAAATAACAAACCACTCCATTATCAACCAAATCAGTGGCCAGTCATGACCTGCAATTAATTGTCTGGTAACTGGAGGAGAAATAGGACCCTAGCAGCTAGGCACTTCTCAAAATTTTGCCCATGAACCAACAGCATTGATATCACCTGGAAGCATGTTAGAAATGCAGAATTTCAGCCTCTCCCCAGAGCTTCTGAATAAAACCTGAAATTCTAACTAGATCCCCATATGACTCATGTGCACATTAAAGTTTGAGAAGCATTGCTGTAATGGTCTTCCTCTGATACCCTGGTGTAAAGAGAATGTCAGAAGCAAGATCCTCAGCAGACCATGGCTTTTTCTTTTGCAGGAAAACATGTGGTAGAAGTGAACAATCAAGAAGATGGTTCAGTTATTTTGACTTGTGACTTGAAAGACAAAGATATCAGATGGTTTAAAGATGGAAAGGAACTAAGTTCACATAGTACAAGTCAAAAAAACACATTGAATCTGGGAAGTAGTTTGAAGGATCCTCGAGGGACGTATTTGTGTCGAGGATCAAGCAACGATTCAAAATCACTCCAAGTGTATTATAGAAGTATGTAATCCCCTTTGGGTTGCTTGTTGTGAAATTAAGCAGTACTTGCTGTTGGTGATTTCCTGTCCAGAGTGAGTGTGGAAATAGATGGTAAACAGTGATTGATGTAAGAGCCAATTCTCTTAATCTCAGCTTCCCTCTTTTTGACTATAACAAGACAGTTCCCCCAGCTTCTTGGGAAAGGATAGCCAGTCCTGAAAGCCTGTTTTACCTTTGGGTGTGCCCCATGAATTGGAGCAGTCAGTAATTTATATAAACTGAGTTAAGGTGGGATCTTCCCAGGCAATTCCCTTGCCATACAATCCACAGAGTGAGCAGCCTGCTGTCCTAGCTAGAAAAAGGTATTATTGCTAGAAGGCAGGAGAAAAAGATCGAGAAGAAAAACTTGCACACCCTGAAGGATGCTTGTCCCTCCCTTTCCCCACAGTGTGTCAGAACTGCATTGAGCTGAATGCGGCCACTGTGTCTGGCTTTGTCTTTGCTGAAATCATCAGCATTTTCTTCCTTGCTCTTGGGGTCTACTTCATTGCTGGACAAGATGGAGTTCGCCAATCAAGAGGTAAAAGAATACGCTTAGATGAGATATGAGACCATGTGGGACCCTCAGCTTTCTTCCTACCAAAATAAGCCCAAGAGAAGAAGAGACTGAGTTGGCACATGTTGTTAATGTGCACAGTTGGGTGAGGCTCTCTGTCCAGGAAAAAAGGACTCTCAGTGTTTTCACAGAATATTTACCTGTCTCAAGACCCAATTCCCTCTTATTTATCCTCTGTGTTTTTTAAAAACTCTATTGAAGTAAAACCTACATACAGAAAAGTGCAGAAATCACAAGTACCCAGCTTTAAAAAAAAAAATTTTTTTTTAACAAAGCAAGCACACCCATGAACCCAGCACCCAGTTTAAGAAAGAAAATATTACGGACAACCTAGAAGTCCCCCTTGTGGTCACTTCCAGACTCGACCTAGCCCCAAAAGTGAGCACAACAACCCTGACTTCTAACAACTTTGATTAATTTTGCCTGTTTTTGTTTCTTATGTAAATAGCCTCATACAGTAAGTACTCTTGTGTGTGGATTCTTTTACTCAACAATATGCTTGGTGAGATCCATTTATACTGTTAAATGTAGGTGTATTTCTCTAATTCTTATTGCTGTTTAGAACTCCATTGTGTGTCTATAACCCAATTTACTATTCATTCTACCTTGTGTATGTGTGTGTTCTGTTTATTTTTTGTACAGCTTCAGACAAGCAGACCCTATTGTCCAATGACCAACTCTACCAGGTAAGGAAATGAGGGATGAAAAAGACACTGCCACAATTAGTGATGGTTTAAAATTTTTGCAATTGGGTGGGGGAGGGGGCAAGTTATTTGGAAGATACTGTATAGATAAGGAACTGCTTAGGACATACCAGATGATGGTATAGTTATCCCTTTGGTTAGAATGGATGAAATAAAGAGAAGAATTCAGTGAGGCTAAAATCAGGATCTAGTGAGAAAAACTGAAGAACACACCAAGAGGGACATACAAAGAAATTACATACAAAGCCTCCATCTTCTTGTCCCCTTTTCTGCCCCCCAGGACCACAAAGCACCCACTCCAAAGCCTTGCACATAAAAAGCACTCAATAAATATGCATCAAATTAATTCACAAAGGATAGGGGGAAATGAGTTTATGACTGTGCTTTCCTTTTTAGCCCCTCAAGGAACGGGAAGATGACCAATACAGCCACCTTCAAGGAAACCAACTAAGGAAGAATTGAGCTCAGGACTCAAGACTAGGTGTGCCCTGCCACACCATTTCTAAGACAGCGGCTTTGCATTACATGCCCTCCCAACTGCTTCCAAGTCTATCTCCTTTCCACAAATAGTGTAGTTATAAAGATCAGGTAGTGATTATGGAGAACCATTTCTAAAAGCATAGAGGCCAGTGCTAATTTTCTTGGACTAAGAAAATATGAAAGCTGTGTGTATCTTTAAATCCTCTCAGAACAAGGTTGCTGAATATTAATTTAATTCTATATAAGGGTTTCTCATTATTCTCACTATTAACATAGTGGGCTAGATAATTCTTTGTGGGCAGGAGGGACTGTCCTGTGCATTGTAAGGTTTTTAGCAGCTTCCCTGGCTTCAATCCACCAGATGCCAGCGGTACCTCTGTTTTGAAAACCAAAAATATCTCCAGATATTACAAGTGTCCTCTCGGGGGCAAAATTGCCCTTAATTAAGAACCACTGTATAGTGTGGGAGTGGAGTCAAGGGATTTGTAATAGATATGTATGATACTGGGGGGAAATGGGGCGGCGGATTGGGGGAGGGGGGTTGTCACTTCGAGGGGTAAAAAGTATAACTATTGCACTCTGTTGTACAGCTGAAACTAATTCTAAAAAATGTGTATTTCATAATAAAAAATAATTTAATTTAAAAAAAAAGGACCACTGACCTATATTTACCTTTCAATCAATCAACCAATCAATCAGAGGTTCTGATTCAATCAGCCTGAAGTTTCAATCAGGAAAACAGGGGCCCAGGCGTTATTTTGTTTTCTGAACCAACTGTAATTTTTTTTTATTAATCCAAGTGTTCTCCTTTCTATCCAGTTCTCAGAAACAAAGCATTACATTTTGGAACACTCCTAACAGAGAGACTTTCAGCCCTGAATCTAGACTCAAAGTTCCCAGAGGTGACAAATGGAGAAGAAAGTCCATCAGAGAAAATTTGGGGTTTTTCTCAAAATAAAATTGAATTAAAATTAAGTAAAAACATGTATGGTGTTTCAGAAGTGCTACCTATTGGGAGGTAATTTTCCTATGAAAGACAAACGAGAAAGTCAATAACCCCCTCTATTTGAATATCATTTTTTGTTTTCATTTTTATTTACTTTTTGATAGGTCATAATTCACATGGGTCAAATATACAGTGAAAGGTCTTCCTCCACCTCTATCCCCAGCCACCCAGTTTCCCTCTCCAGAGGCAAACAATATCCTATTTTTTATATATATTCTCTACGATATATAATGTATTACATTTCAAAGGTATTCTAGGCATACATAAGTAAATTCTTTTTTTTAAGATTTTATTATTGGGGAATTGGGGAAGGGGAACAGCCAAGTTGTTGTCCTTCAATCTTAGTTGTGGAGGGCGCAGCTAGCTCAGCTCCAAGTCCAGTCGCCATCCTGCCGCTTGTCCGCAGCTCATTGCCGTTCAGCTCAAGGTGCTGTGTTCAATCTTAGTTATAAGCAAATTCTTAAGTATACATTTTTTTCCCTTCCCCTTTTCACACAAATGGTATCATACATCTTGTACTTTTCACCTAATAAAATTTGAAGATTATTTTATACCAGCACATAAAGAAGATTCTTTTATATTTTTTTAAAGATTTTATTGGATAATTGGAGAAGGGGAACAGACAAGCCGCCGTCCCCTTGCTCCTCAGTCTAGCCGTGGAGGACATCACTCCACTGGTCCATGTTGGCACCATCATTGTGCTCTTCCCGGGCAAGGCAAATAGGTCGCCGGCCACTGGACAGTCGGCCACAGAGCCCCGGCCACTCACGCCAGCCACCAGCCACCCAAGCCGGCTGCCAGCCACTCGCAGCAGCTTTACGGCAGCCCACTGCAGCCTCACTGCAGCCTATGCCTCGCTGGCGACTCATGGCAGCCCAGCTCCAGGTTGAGCTGCTGTTCACCATCTTAGCTGTAGAGGGCGCAGTGTCACTGGCCTTAATGTGGGATCCTAACTGGGGCCCTGCCACTCAGAGCTGACGTCCCAAGCCAACTCTTTTTTTTTTTTCCTTCAGCTAACAGCAGATGATTTATTGTACACGTTACATTCAGCCACAACTAAGAACAAAACTTGTCCAGAATGTCACAGGTCCAGAGCAAAGGGCTGTTTTTGTATGAGAAAAGTGTGTCTCTCAAAAGGTGGTCGTGGGGAACAGATGGCAATGTATGTTCTAGATCCATTGAGAAGTCCTAGACATTAGGCTGCAGTCCAACAATTCATTCCAGTGTCCCTGGCCTCTGGCTTTCCTCATTTCTGCTCCCGTGGCTTGCATGGGTGCACAAGCTAGCGGTTTACTTGGACCTCTGCCTCATCTTTCTTCTTTTGCGCTTCAGCCTGCGAATTCGCTTCTCCCTCCACTTGGCTCTCATGGCGCGGAGGTATCTAAGAAGATGACGCTAAGGCCGAGAGCCCAAACCAACTCTTAACCAACATGCCACTCGGCCGGCCCAAGGTGATTCTTTTTTAATGTAGCCACATTATATAGATATACTATAATTTATTTAACCAGTCCTCTATTGATGAGCATTTAAGTTGGTTCCAATCTGTTGGCTGCAAGGACTAACATTGTATAAATTGTCATTTTTTAAAATAACTGTATTGAGGTATAATTTACATGCTATAAAATTCACTCATTTTAAGTGATTTCACCTATTCTCAGTAATTTTTAGCAAATTTATCCAGTTGTACAACCATCACCATAATCCAGTTTTAGAACATTCCTATCACTCTCTTAAGATTCCTTGTGTTGTCACTAACCTGTTCCTACCCTCAGCCTCAGGCAACTACTAATCTCTTCTGTCTATTTAGATTTGCCTTTTCTGGAAATTTCATGTAAATGGAATCATACAATATGCTGCTCTGGATATTATCATGCAAGTCTTTATGTGAACACATTTTTTTCATTTCTCTGGGGTTGATACCAAGGAGCGAAATATTGCTGGGTTGTATGGTAAATTTATGATTAACTTTTTTTTTTCTTTTTAAGATTTTTATTGGGGAATTGGGGGAGGGGGAACAGACAAGTTGCTGTCCTTTTTGTTCTTCAGTCTAGTTGTGGAGGACGTCACTTCACTGGCCCAAGTTAGCACCATCATTGTGCTCTTTCCCGGCGAGGCAGATCATTCACCCGCTTCTGGACGGCCACTCACGGCGGCTGCTGGCCGCTCACGCTGGCTGCGGGCTACACACGGTGGCCCATGGCAACCCACTGCAGCAGGGGCTGCAGCCTACGCCTTCGTCAGCAACTCATGGCAACCCAGCTCCAGGTTGAGCTGTTGTTCACCATCTTAGCTGTAGAGGGCAGTGTCACTGGCCCGCATATGTGGGATCTGAACCGAGGCCCTCTGGAGTCCCAAGCCAGCCCTTAACCAATGCGCCACTCGGCCGGCCCTATGATTAACTTTTTAAGAAACTGCTTACTGTTTTTCAGACTAACTATACCATTTTATATTCCAACTAGCAATGGATAAGGGTTGCTGTTTCTCCACATTCTCACCCATATTTGTTACTACCGGTTTTTAGTATAGCCTTTCTAGTGGGTATAAAATGGTATCTTACCATGACTTTAATTTGCATTTCCCTATGACTAATAATGTTGAGCATCTTTTCATGTGCTTATTAGCCATTTTTATCTCTTTAGTGAAATGTCTATTCAAATC